AACAAAGCACATTCTAAAATTTTCAAGTTTAAGGGAGGGATGGTCTGAAGCAGGATTTTGTATAGGAATGGAGCTCAGTATGTTTTAAAAACTAAAAAATATAATTAATAAAAAGTTCAGATTTATGAAGGAAAGGTATTCATTTGTGGATAGAACAAAGCCATTTTCAGAAATGCAAGTCCTCAAAATATGTACCTGTCATAAATCCTTTGACAACTAGTGAATGGATATTCATTGCCGCCAAACTGAAGGAATAAAGTTAGAAAAAGACATTGGATACAGAAAATAGGACATATAAAACAGTAAACAAATGTAAAATTCGCAGGATGATAGCGACGAGAAAATCCACCATGACAGTGAAATATCTAGTCTCAAGAAGCAACTACTCCCGGCTGGAGTAGGGAGGTCCACAGTTCTAACAGATTGCTACTGAGAAAAGGATGGGGAGAGAGATTACAAGAGGAAATGGTCAGGAAACCGAATTAGTGAAAGGTACACAGAAAAGCCAAGTACAGAAAACAACAAGGCATTTTTTAGCTCCAGGGAAACAAAAAGGTTCCCAAGAAATTAAATGTGATGAAATTACAGTGGTATACAGGTGCAGTAACTTAGCTAATAGCTTGGGACCAGAGTGTCTTAAATTTCCATTTTTTTCCAGATTTTGGAATACTTTATACACAGTGTGAAATATCTTGGTGATGGGACCAAGTTTAAGCGTGAAATTCATTTGTGTTTTATATATACCTTATACACATAGCCTGAAGGTAATCTTACAGCATATTTTTAATAGTTTGGTGCATGAAATTTTCTGCTCTAGTAATGGCAGTGTTAAAAATGTTTTGTATTGTGGAGTCTTTCCCATTTCAGATTTTAAGACTAGGGATGCTCAAACTCTATATTCAAAATAAAATAGATAGTATTAATTTAAAACAAAAATTTTTCTGCATTTTGGTTGTCTAGAAGTGAGAGACTATTAGTAGAAAAATAATATCTTCACCCAGCCCCCTGTTACATACTGAAAATCTGTATTCAAAAATCAAGGCATGACACTATTGTTTTATTTAGAAAAAAAAAAACTCTAAAATGTTGAAAGATGTTATGTTCAAGAACATAAATCAGGAATGAAAGAGGTTGACATCAAGTGACAGTCCATGAACTAGATACCAACGTCATTAGTGAAAGAATAGGGGTATTCAAAAGATTAGTAAATGAATGGATGAGGAACAATAAAGAGACATTACCTGGTCCTGAAGCTGTCAAAGGAACAGATAAGAGATGAAAAAAAGATGAAAGGAGAGTAATAGATTTTTGAGAACAAGGTAGCAGCAATCCTGCCTTTCAACCCAGGAGTTCATTAGTAAACATGTGATGTGAAAACCTTTGTAAAGGCTGTCAGATGAATGAAGACATTAGGAGAGAATAAGTTTTAGCTAAGTCTGTAAGGAAGAGAGTAGTGAAAGGGCTGGTACAGTCTAAGAGATCAGAGGGAGTGCAGGAGAGAGGGCTTGGGCCTTAGGAATAGTTCAACACTTTATGGTGATGAGCAATGAAATAGAAAAGATGACTAGAAGAAATTACATTTTGGGTTAATGAAAGAGAAAGCAGGAATCGAAGTGAATTAAATTTGAAAAGTTTTGTTTGCTAGTGGACACAAGCCAAATACTCCAGGTGGAGGTCTGAATATTCTTTTTCCTCTTGATTCATAATTTAAAAAAAAAATACAGTGGCAACAACAAATTGATACCAAAAAATACTAACATGGTCCAGTACAAAAGGATAGGGAAGGACTGGGGACAACAAGAAACATGAATAATTGATTCATCACTCATGCATGTGTTGTAAAAGCATAAATTACCAGCATGGATCAGCTCTGTGGCAACACTGCTGGCTCATCATTCTGCCTATTGTTTATTCAAATTGAAAACCTATGAATCGTTCAGTGCACATCCACCCTTTCCCCTACAACCTTCCCCTCTACCTCCTTTTTAACGGTCACCAACTCTGGATTGTACTTAACTATCTTCCCAATCTATTACTTCTCTCCATCCTCACTGCTACCTCCATAGTCTAATCTAATAATCACTTACCTTAAGAATTTTAATAACGTCAGCAAACACTTAGTAGGTGCCTAATATATGTCATATATTTCCTAGCTGCATCTATTGGGTGCCAAATATAGCCTAGATACCAAGCAAAAACCTGAAGGGCACCAATTTACATTCAAGAATTTCAAGTAAGACCAAATAAAACAGTAGTTACTAAACCTTGTGATTCAGGCTCCCTGAAATAAGAAGTGTAGGAGTTTCAGAGGCATAAAGTAACTAAGAAGAAAGGTCATCTTTTAATGTGTTAAGCAACCCTCTACAGATTATCATGTGGAAACAGTCATCTGTAAATATTTAATCATAAAGCCATCCCTGAAATATCTTTGTATTAATTTCAGAAGTTAAAGGAGGAATTATAATGGCTTACAGTGGAACAGCAAAAAGCTTTTGGGCAAGTTATTTTGATTGCCTCAAATTTGACTTAACAAAAGCAATTTGAAAACCAAAATGCTACATTGTTTTTAGAAATTCTCTAATTTCTATTTTAGTTATACATTTCCATTCTATGTAAAAATAAATTAATAGATTAAATGCAACTTTCAAATTAATGTTCAATCAATCCTAATTCTGTTTTTTGCAAACTATACTGCATGCTGTGAATTTGAGAATAAGACAAAGTCTCCTCAAAGAACTTGTCTAGGACGTGGGGAAGTAGCACACAATTAAGAAGTGCTGTGATTAGTGTTCTGGGAACTCAGAGGAAAGTGCCCTTCCTTCAGTGCCCTATGTTCACTGAGATAGGTACCTTGTAGTTAGAATGAAGTTATTCCAAGCAATTTATCAGTAGCTGATGATGGTTTAGAAGAGAGTTTCAGGGGCTGGCACTGTGGCGTAGCAGGTAAAACTGCTGCCTGCAGTGTCCGCATCTGGCTGCTCCACTCCAGTCCAGCTCTCTGCTATGACTTGGGAAAGCAATGGAAGATGGCCCAAGTCCTTGGGCCCCCGCACCTGCAAGAGAGCTCCTGGCTCCGGATCAGTGCAGCTCCATCCCTTGCGGCCAATTGGAGAGTGAACCAAAGGATGAAGATTTCTTTCTCTCTCTCTCTGTCTCTCTGCCTCTCTCTCTCTCTCTCTCTCTCTGCCTTTCCTTCCCTCTTTGTGTAACTCTGACTTTCAAATAAATAAATAAATCTTTAAAAAAGAAAAGAGTTTCAGATATATTCCTTCAGGCATGAATGCATTTTTTTCATTCTATAGTTACTGAGTATTTGTTACATAGTATACACCGTGACAAATCCAAAGATGAATCAAGTACGGTCCCTACCTTCAGGAGGCCTAATAGCCTAGAAGAAAATGACAGAGGGGGAGAAGTGCAGGGGAGGAACAGAAAGGAAGGGAATATTATATTCTTAGAATTATATCTATGAAATATATTCTGTTAAAAATAATTTAAAACATTTCTTTAAAAAGCGTTAGCTTGGATGAAATATTGAAAATACCACAGTAGAATTCATTGCAAGATTTCATGGTACTTGATCACTTTAATCTAGAGGACTGTCATGTCAGGGCTGTCATAGGAATTTCTACCATGATTATAAGTTTCTTTGCCCTATCAAAATCATAGGATTAATAAAGATAAATTGGCATTCTGAAGTGAGTAACTCAGTTCTAATCTGTAGCTCTATTCAAATGGAAACTCTGAGGGCCAGTGCCATGGCACAGTAGGTTAATCCTCCACCTGAGGTGCTGGCATACCATATGGGCACCGGTTCTAGTCCTGGCTGTTTCTCTTCCGATCCAGCTCTCTGCTATGCCCTGGGAAAACAGTAGAAGATGGCCCAAGTCCTTGGGCCCCTGCACCTGCATGGGAGACTGGGAAGAAGCTCCTGACTCCTGGCTTCAGATCAGCGCAGCTCTGGCTGTTGCAGCCATTAGGGAGTGAACCAGTGGATGGAAGACCTTTCTCTGTCTCTCCCTCTCACTGTCTGTAACTCTACCTCTCAAAATAAATAAATAAAAAACCTTAAAAAAAAAAAAGAATGGAAGCTCTGTGAAAAGAGGAACTTCATCTAATTCATCTCTCTATCCTCAATATCTAGACTAGTCCTTGGATTATAGTGATTACAAAATAAATACTTTTTTACTTTTGGAATGGATCAGTGAGCTAAAAAGAAGGCAATATAGGGCAGCTGGTGTTGGGTAGCAGGTTAAGTCTCCACCTGTAGTACCAGCATCTCCTATGGGCACTGATTCGAATCCTGGCTGCTCCAATTCCAGTCCAGCTCCTTACAAATGTGCCTGAGAAGGTCATTGGAACATGACCCAAATGCTTGAGCCCTGCCATCCATGTGGGAGACCCAGATGAAACTTCTGGCATCTGGCTTTGCCCTGGCCCAGTCTTGCCATTGCAGCTATCTGGAGAGTAGATAGAAGATCTCACTGTGTCTCTTCCTTCCTCTCTGTAACTCTGACTTTCAAAATAAATAAATACATATTTTTTAAATAAAAAGAAATTTTAAACTTGGGGGTGAAATTTGAATAAATGGAAGAAATGTATTTTCCAATAAATTCTGAAGATTTATGTTCTATTCTGTGAATTTTGTTACATTAAAAATATATTCTAGACACTTGTTTCAACGTAGAGCATAAACATGATAGCACTGAACTGAGTCAATATTGTATTTTAGGCCAATTCTGCGCTTCCGAAGCTGTGTGATGGTGAAACTCTGTTAACCTCTTTGAATCTTTTTATTTGATAAATTGGAATAAAATTTATTTAACATTCTTGCAGATCTGTTTAACAATTTGGTGATAGAATGCTTGTGTGTTTCCTGTATATAAGTTAAAGCATTAGAGAATTATAAAATGTGTACCAAAATTAAATTTCAAAGCTTTAAATTGTAATTCTTTCCAAAGGCAGTCAATTAAACACTTTTTCCTTCTTTTTCTTTCTAGTGCAGTGCCTGGAGATGACCACCAAACGGAAAATCATCGGCCGTCTGGTGCCGTGCCGATGTTTCCGAGGTGAAGAAGAAATCATCTCTGTTTTAGATTACTCCCACTGCAGCCTGCAGCAGGTGCCAAAGGAGGTCTTTAACTTCGAACGGACATTAGAAGAGCTTTATCTAGATGCCAATCAAATTGAAGAACTACCCAAGGTAATTTGTGACAACCTAGAATATACACTGTAATGATTATGATAATGCTAACTGTAGCCTTTTATTTCGGTAATTGACAAATCATTAAAGCTGATACAATTTTTCCCAATATTCTCATTACCTTTTAATAGTGCTTCATTTGTACCTTTATATATTAGTAACACATTGAGCTCTATTGGAATGAGCATTTTCTAGATTATACCTGGTTTTGTTAATTTAAAAGATACAGATTGGAGGGAAAGGAAAAGATATGACATTATATATTCTAGAACTAAAAATCAGTGTTATATGTTAGGATGGTACTGTTTTAAAACTTTGAATATGTTCCAAATATAAGAAAGGCTGTTTTTTTACCTGCAGTTAATCCTATTATGAAAAATATAATTTTGTTCTTATAGTTTAAGTATTAGATTATTATAACTATCACTGGCAGGTAGCTAGTAAAGAGTTGGTTCAAAAGTTTATGAAACAGGCTGGCACTATGGTATAATGAGTAAAGCTGCCACCTGCAGTGCCAGCATCCCATATGGATGGTGGTTCAAGTCCTGGCTGCTCCACTTCCCATCCAGCTCTCTGCTATGGCCTGGGAAAGCAGTAGAAGATTGCCAAGTCCTTGGGCCCCTACCCCCATGTGGGAGACCAGGAAGAAGCTCCTGGCTCCTGGCTTCGGATCTGTCCAACTCCAGCCATTGAGGCCATTTGGGGAGTGAACCAGGGCTGGAAGACCTATCTCTCTCTCTCTCTGTCTCTGTGTAACTCTGACTTTCAAATAAATAAATCAATCTTATTTTATGTGGTTTATTTATTTGAAAGTCAGACTTATAGAGCGGCAGAGACAGAGTCTCCTATCCGCTGGTTCATTCCCCAGTTGGCCACAGCGGCTGAGCCAATCCAAAACAAGGAACCAGAAGCCTATTCCAGGTCTCCCATGCGAGTGCAGGGGCCCAAGCTCATAGGCCATCTTCTGTTTTCCCAGGCCATAGCAGAGACCTGGATTGGAAGTGGAGCAGCTGGGACTCGAACCGGCACACATAAGGGATGCTGGCACTGCAGGTGGTGGCTTTACCCGCTATGCCACAGTGCCAGCCCCAGTAAATAAATCTTAAAAAAAAAAAAAAAAGGTAATAAAACAGCACACACAGGTACATACGCACTTCCATTCCAGTATTGTACTACGCAAAGAAAACCAGATTTTCTATATTTTTGTTGTCTGTCACTGAAAATAGGTATTAACTAAAGCATATGAAAGACATCTAACACAGAGGTTTAAAATGTAAATCAGTGGATCCTAAGAATCACCTAAATAATTAGCTCAGATTAAGTAGTCAGCATAGGATTTACCTGTGAAAGACTTACGTGGCTGAAAAATTGTCCTGCAAAATTGTCATTGCTTTGCTTAAAAAAGGATATTAAATATCCAACAAGCAGAAAAAGAATCTTTTGCAATAAAAACTTATTTTATCATCAAAATGTGAGTTTTTAATGTTCTGATAAAAAACAATTAGATGCAATTGTTTTCATTTAATATTATGAATTAAAGTCATTTACCTAGCACTTCAAATTTATGGCCAATTTAATATGTGACTCAAAAGCAAGATACTTCATTTTTGATAACCTAAGTTTGTCATTTCCTCTTAGATCTTTCCTCAGGGTGGCTGGGTCACACCATCAAAAATATTTGATCCGATGGTTTAGCACAGGATTGCACATCAATTAGAGGCCAGGTTGAAATGGCATGTCTCTGCCACCAGACTAGGAACTACTTGAGGGTAGGGGTGGTACCTGATTCATCTTTGCCTACGTGCATAGTGACTTTCACAGACTGGATACACAGTCCATTTTTTGTCAACTGACTAGTGCAACAATGCAGAAAATTTCATGTATTGTAGGGCTTGATCAGCAAAACTATATAAGGTTTCACAAATAAGTCATAAATGTGATATTTCACTCTAATGGAGAAAAATAAGCACAGGTGTTTATTGTTTAGGTCAAGCCATTCTCAGATTGACAGATAAAACAGAGAACAGGGGCTGGCACTGTGGCATAGCAGGTAAAGCCGCCGCCTGCAGTGCCAGCATCCTATATGGGTACTAGTTTGAGTCCTGGCTGCTTCACTTCCAATCTAGCCCTCTGCTATGGCCTGGAAAAGCAGTGGCGGATGGCCAAAGGCCTTGGGCTCCTGCACCCATGTGGGAAACCTGGAAGCAGCTCCTGGTTTCAGATCTGGCACAGTTATGGCCATTGTGACTGTTTGGGGAGTGAAACAGCAGATGGAAGACCTTTCTCTCTCTATCTCTGCCTCTCTCTGTAGCTCTGCCTTTCAAATAAAGTAGATAAATCTTTAAAAAAAGAACAGAGAACATCCAGTTAAATATGAATTTTATATAAAAATTGACAATTTTATAATATAATTTTGTCCCAAATATTGCATAGAATACATTTATATTAAAAATGGTTTTCTTTCTATATGAAATTCAAATTTCACTGGGCATCTTCTTTTTATATACTAAATCTAACAACCCAAGGCCAATGTAGTCATTTAAAATCTTTTCCTAGATACATGAAACAGATTTTGTAGAATAAATAGTAAAAACATGGTTAATGAATAAATCAATTATTTACTTACTATCTGCTCTTCTACATAGTACTTGAGGCCTGCAGGGACATACAGGAGAAATAAATAATCCCTACTTGTAAGGATCTGACAACCTAATTACAGAGAAAAACTGAAATGTGAACAGTTCATGCTCAGTAGTGTTTAATTAGAGCCAAAGAGCCAAATACTGTTGTGAGGCTTATGTATAGAGAAGACATCCTTTCTTGAAGAGGTGAGCAAAGACTTTGACCGAAGAGCTCACATAGGGAAATTAAGATGGTATTGTTGTGGAGTGCAGGAGAGGGAGCAGAGCCCTGAAGAGTCTGGAGCTGCAGATACATGTGAGGAGGGCAATATGTGGAGATGGGAGGGAAGAACCAGACCATGAAGGGTCTTGAAAAATCATATACTATTTGACTCAGTTCATTGATCTGAAAACACCACTGGGGAGTCTTATATACTCAGTAGGAGCCTAAGTAGGCTTAGATGAGAAATTTTTTTTTTTAAATAATCAAGGTGTAATTAAACATGGAATGAGGCATGATGGGAAGATGATGGGTCACAAAGTCACACCTTCTTTTCTCTTTTTTAAATTTTTTTATTTTTATTTTTTAATTTTTATTAGAGAGAGAAAGGTCTTCCTTCTGTTAGTTCACCCCCCAAATGGCCGCTACGGCCTGCGCTGCACTAATCTGAAGTCAGGAGCCAGGTGCTTCTTCCTGGTCTCCCATATGGGTGCAGGGCCCAAGGACCTGGGCCATCCTCCACTGCCCTCCCAGGCCACAGCAGAGAGTTGGACTGGAAGAGGAGCAACCAGGACTAGAACCTGATGCCCATATGGGAAGCCGGTGCTTCCGGTGGAGGATCAACCAAGTAAGCCATGACACTGGCCCCTAGATGAGAAATCTTAAGCTATTTTGTCTGTTTGTTTAGCTAAAACAATGGAATAACAATAAATACAAAGAATATATAGGCACCAAAAATGCAATTATTCTTTCCTGATTGATTAGAATTAAGAAGAATTACTATCTTCTATTATTGTGTTTTATATGGTTCCAGGATCTTTCACATAATCTGTGAAAGTTGCTGTAAGTTCCCAAAATCAGTTGTTTTGCATTCATAAAGCAGCCCTGTAAGTTAGTTCCTTCCAAGCTACCGAAAATGTATTGAGATAGGATTGTCATAGTGCATAGATATATTTGGGTATTGTTAGAAAAATAGATATTTAAGAAGCCAAAGGATCAGGGCTCACAACGTTTGTCTTGAGTAAGAGAAAATTCAATGAAAACTTACTTTAAAAATAGACATGATTGGCTTTCATAAGTGGGACCTATTTCTCAGGACACAATTGGTTATCTTTTATTTGCCTTGTATGTTAATCAACTTTATTCTTAGGGTGGCTTCTCTCACAGTAGGTGAATTACTGCAACAGTTCTAGAGCATCCAGAACGAGTTCTAAAATAGTTCTACAGCATCCAGAAAGAGAAATAGCTTACCACTGTCTTTCTGACAAGGAAAAAGTGTCACCCACAATTTCTCAACTAACTTGCCCTTCCATCTCATTAGCCTCCTTGTACAGCAAATTCATTGCTAGTTCAATTCCTTTGCTAATTAGGGGAAGGGGGAGGGTCTGACCCATGGACTATATAAGGCCTTTGAAATCATTTGGTTTGGCCCTGTTAAGGCAACCAAAGGTGGGACTCAAAATTCAATAAATCTACTACAAGCTAATGTTTAAGTTGATAATTTTGTGTGATATTATAAACTTCCAAATCATCCTTAGAGAAAAATGGTTCCTCACCCCTAGATGAACAGCTATGGCAAGAAGGTTGGGATTATGCTCATTGGGTTATATAGTGACAGGACAGCTCTGTGAAGCTGTGATTGCTGCTGGCAGTCCAGGATTAGGGGTGAAAGGACTGGTGAAGAGATTACCCCAGTGTGAGCCATAAGCTGCTGACAAATGACGATTTCCCGAGGAACAAGTGCTCTTCATCAAAGATGATGCATAAAGGTTTTAAAGCCTTGTAGACAAAGTATTGAGTTTTTGAGACTTTAAATCTTGAAAGTTAGATTAAATATTTTGTCTACCATCTTATTTTTATCTTGTTCTTGTTTTCTTTGTATTATTCTGGTCTTGTTACCACTGTGATTTCAAATTTGTTGCATAATAGGATTGTCATTTAGATGCCTGATACTACATTATGATAAGATTTACTTTTTATAAATATTTTTACTTTTTGCTCTCTGGTATTTTTTAAAGAATTTTCCAACTGGTCATGAATCTCTAAGTTGTCATACAACAGAGAACAAAAAAATCAAGCTTCATAGCAAAAGCAAATACACGTCAAGAGTGCTTCAGAAAAATAGATATGAAAGAATGGAAAGTATTTTGATTAGAAAT